CAGAGTTTGATAAATGTACACTCTAGTTCGCTGCGGACGGTTGGGCGTGTCAGCCAGTATGAGTGTGTCACCCTATCAGAGCCGTTCTCTGCCTTCTTGTTGAAGAGCGCATGCGACAAAAAGTGGTAGAAAGACGAGTAATACGAAGCATATGATACAGTATTGTCACTTGCCCGCTTCAACAACTGGTGTAGAACGAGTTTGGCACCATGCCTACAACCGTCCGCAGCGAACTGCAGTATAAGTTATATCGCCTCGAAAGTAGAGGGAAAAATGTCTTTTCTTTGCCCCCCCCCATGTACGCTGAGCCAGCCATTGGTAGTAGTGTAGCTTCGCAGAATAAGTTAGTAAGTTACTTATTAGTATAGAGCAGTGGTAACAGCAGTAGCAAACTTCATTCTTCTTCGCCGCTGCGACGCCGCTTTCATGTTCTACATACGCCGCTAGATTAGGTGGACGGTTTGTTCTCACTTGGACCTAGAGATCCCTGAGATGTGGCAGGCGTGGCTGTGCACTTCAACTAAACCTGGCAATGGCTATGCTTCTGAAAAGATATTTTTATCTTGATACGACTGTGGTCGTGCCCCTGCTCAACATCGAGCAAGATGACAGTTGTCTCAAACTGAAATATCCCACAAGTAATCCATTCTGTGCCACGCTTGAATGCCACGCCTACTCCGTCCCAGGGATATGGAGTGTAAGTGCTCACCGGAGCACCAGTGAAGGAGTCTGAAGGAGTCCTTACATACACACATCGTGGCGCGGCGCCGTCTTATTCTCATCAATGGCTGCCGGCGCCGCACCGGCAACTACTGGCGAAGCAGGCTGGCGCCCAACCGAGATGTATATACCTTTTCGCTGCAGACTATGAGGTGTCATGGAGGCTGGATTTGGCGCAGCGCTAGCCCATTTCCCACCAGTGGTTGTTTCCTGACCGGTTCAACAGTGGGGGGACAGGCTGGCTTCGTGCCATACCCAGCCCCCTGACATGCCACTGCATCCGAACAAGACTGCAGAAAGACGAGTATTACTTGCACGCTGTTCAGGCGAAACCGTGATAGGCAGTTTTTGGCAACACTTCAATATGTTCAATATTTATTAGGAAGCATAATTAATTAGGGAAGTACATATGATACATGGAGTGCCACCGTATATGCAATTGACTCTGTACGCGAGAATTAAAGTGAACAACAAGTAAGTGATATGGATTGAAGCTTCAGTACTCCGCTGGTGTAGGACTAAGAGTGACACACTAGAACACGATAGCAATAGCGCCAATCACATAGACGATCATTGTGATACAGCTGACGAGATTGTTCGTGGCTGCATGGATTTGGAGCCAGTCCGCTGAGGCATCCTGCAAACAGAAGCATAAGGTCCGGTCGTCAGAAGTGTAGACTTATTATCGCGAGAAATTTCTTCAGCGCAGATCATGGGTCACGAATTCCTGTAAACGATGAGGCGTATGAAGGGGCGTGGGCTTGAAGCGCATCAAGGGCACTTCTTCACCAATTGTAGCAGCCGTAGGATGGTATCATGGGGGTGTCGGTCGGATGGCGTGGCTGGCAGCTGTCCTACCGTAACTGGGACGCTGCTGGACGCTAATTGACACCTCCCTGAGCCTGTTCAGCCGCTCCCTCGGACCGGAGAACTCGTCCACAAGCCACGCACCATACTGATTCGTATAATTGATCGACCTACAATGGTGAGACGTCTCCGTAAACGCCGAATTGCGTACTGATCGCTCAACTACGCATTCTCTTCCGTTTTTGAGCGGAGTTTCGACTTTTTTTCGCCTACCAGCCATTACATAACTACAGCTATAAACGGCTATCGATTATTCAATGCATTTCTGTACAACTGCGGAGCTACTAAACCAGTGGTGAGTTTTTTTTACAGTTGCTTAAAAGTTGATTTCTATACTGTTTGCTTACTGGAAGAGCATAGTTTCATGACCATTTTGGGATCATGACACATTCTTCTTCTCAGTTCGCTCACAGTTATTTTTCCTTGTTCACGATCATTGAAGAGTTCCTAACAACTGTTTTTTTACACGTTTGCACAAAAAAGTTACCAGAACAGCTTCACGATGCATTATTCCTCAATATTCTTGCTTTCCCTGATACAATTTTCCTGGACTCAGTCCCTATATTTTACGCTCGTTTCTTAGAGTTGGTAACTGTTGGACATTGTGACCCCTGCTGACGAGCAACATTTCTCAACTAATCACGCGCATAGGGGAGCGGGGCGACGTCGCTGACTCATTTGATATGCCCAAAGGAGACACAAAGTCTCCCGTAACTCATCCCGAAAAAGAAGTTGAGGTCGAGTTGAGGAAGATATATGTCGAGATATGTGTCAGGAAAAACCATTTAAGCCAAATGTAATAAAGTTTTTTGAATAGTCTGCTGTTAATGTGTACAAAGGGGTTAAAAAACACTTGTTAGGAATCTTCTTCGATGATGCTTCTATTTAACAAGGACAAATTAACTTGTGAGCGGATACTTAGAAGAAGAATGTGTCATGATCCCAAAATGGTCATGAAACTATGCTCTTCCAGTAAGCAAACAGTATAGAAATCAAGTTTTAAGCAACTGCAAAAAAAAACTCACCAATGGTTTAGTAGCTCCGCACTTGTACAGAAAGGCAATGAATAAGCAATGGTCAATATACAATATTAGTAGTGTGGTTTCAAAATAGTTGGTAAGGCCAAAGAAGTCGAAAACCCGCTCAAAAACGGAAGAGAATGGGTGGTTGGGCGACCAGTACGCAATTCGGCGTCTACGGAGGCGTCCTACTATTGTGGGTCGATCAATGATGCGAGTCAATTACGTAGCTGTGGACGAGTTCTCCGGTCCAAGGGAGCGGCTGCCCAGGCTCAGGGAGGTGTCAATTAGCGTCCAGCAGCGTCCCAGTTACGGTAGGACAGCTGCCAGCCACGCCATACGACCGCCTCCCCTCCGCGGTGATAAAGAGCCGCCCAGGTCGCGCTTCAATCCCTGCCACCCACATGCCCTATACAGGGGTCATGACCGTAGAAAGACTCATCAACTAAAAGTGCGAATCCTCTCTCAGCTCCGCCCGCACGCAAGTCTAATCCACTACTGTAAAGGGTAGAACCGTCCAACAGGGAATAAGTTGAAGATAATAGGGTTCAAAAATAGAAGTGCAGTGTGCTAGGTGATTTAATACTGAAGTGCAAAGAGATTCGGCATCAGAACACGCAGCCGTTCTCGCGAGGTCCTTTTCGCCGAAGAAGTAGTGTCAAACCAACCTTGGAAGAAGTGCCGTCCGTCACTGGTTCCTCTTCAGAGCCGCAGCACAGATTGGCGTTGAGAACAGAAGCAAGAAGTGTAAAGCGATGGGCTGAAAATTTCAACATTGAGTGCCTCTTAAGGCTGAAGTGCCGCAAATGAGCGCTTTTCCGTAAAAACTATGAGGTCCTGTTGCAAACACGGCGCACGCGAAACCACTTGCAACAATGGTTGGCTGCAACTCGGATCACATCTAACAGACATCCATTTCACGAAAGAAATCAGCTGGGGGGGGAGTCACAAATGAGCTGCGGGCCTGACAATCCATGACATTTGAGGGTCCTGGACAGAATGATAATCTCAATATTGTGCTGTCCCAGAGCCTCATTGTAATCTGAACATGAAACACGTGAAAGAGGCGCCAAAAAATTTATTGCAAAAAACTCAAAAGACTCAAAAGAATCCAAAAGTTCTTGCAAAAATTTTTGTTTCTAATACTTCCTTCGAATATTTCGGTGCCTAGCACCTTCTTCAGCGATCTGAAATACTACAGTTAGCCGCCTCCAACCGAATCCTGAACCTTGCCTTCACTGGTGCCTCCGATCTGGACTCTGACCTGGTCTGCTGCCTCCAGCATCTACCGCCGCTGCTCCTTGCGAAAGCCGCGAATTTTTGGCAATTTTTGGCGCCTCTTTTGTGTGTTTCATATTCAGAATGATAATCATTAAGTAATAGGGGCAAAGGTGAATACTGCCGCCACTGCACGCATGATACACGGACCAACTGCTGGATTTAGCGTACTGTAGAAAGCCTGGCATTTCTTTAAGTGATTCTAGGCTGTAGCAAAGCCTGCTAGGAGCCACGCCAAGACCTGCTACTGGGGAAAATTTTCTGCCAAATGCGACCTTCCTGAAACCTCCTCCTCCTGGTACGAACCCTTTGCCCATCCCCATCCTACCAACCATCTTCCCAGACTTTTCCAACTTTCCGCTACTTTTCCTTTTTTTCCGAAAATTCGAGAGCGCATCGTGAGGCAAAAGGCCAGTAAAATACCGCTTCGATAGAAGCTGTTTGCATGGTGCATTTCAGGAGGAAAATGATCAATTCTCAATACTGTTTGTAATAGCTGAAGACCCTCTTACCTGGAGGCACTTTCCTCTTTATTCTGCTCATGGCGGCGATTAAAACGGTGATAATCAGGCTGATAACGGTAACGGCCAACGTGAACGCATAGAAGACATCTGAAAGGAAATAGAGAATTCATCCAGACTGTTTTAGATTCAATTCAATGGGAAAACGTACAAATTTTTGGGATGGTGGAGCCAAACCCGAGTTGAGGCGTTTTGTCGGCCATAAATTGGAAGCTCATGAATTGCAGCAGCAAAGCAAACATCTTCACCTTGATCTGGAATGGAATTTTTTCGGCGCATTATGGCTTAGGAAGTGGCATTTTGTGCTTCTAACACGGCCCGTTCTACCTAGGAGCCCAGCTTCATCTACGTCTTCACCTCCCTTTACCTTTCGTCTTCAGAAAAAAAACCTGATTGGTCGAAGAAACTGATGAAAGCCCCATTCTTTGATACAATTTCCACATCCTTTCATAAATAACTAGGGTACATCATTTCCACGATCAGCGACTGGGGAATCTAGACTCCCCAGCTGGGGAAGTTTTTCTCGCGATTTCTCAGAGGAGGGAACTCGGGGGGGGGGAGGGAGGTTGTATCAGGCCTCCTTTCAGGGGAGGGGTCGTACGGACTCGACCAAAATCCCGAGCCAATGAAGTTCCCTGTAAGCAGTCCCTTTCAGCAAGCAAAATGCGCCCCAAGCGAGCTAAGTACGATCCGCTCGTCCCTCGCTGAGCATTCCTCACTTGCGCGATGCCTTGGTTGCAAGTGGTATCCCACGGGAGAGTGGTTGAGCTGGAGCTTTTGGCAAAGTGCAGAAGGGAAGTATCGCTTGTAAGCGCTGATGAATTCAATTTCGTGGGGAGGGGAGATTGTTGTATTGAAGAAGGAATTCTGGATGGACTATGAAGAGAAAAGCTCAGATATCCGCATGATGTATGCTGATGAAAAAATGTCAAAAACCACCATTTTCTAGTTGATAGCGGAATGCCCAGTGAAATCGGAAATTTACCTGTTGATCGAATTTCCCGAAGAATGGGGCTATAAGTAAGAGAAGTGCAGAAATGAGCACTGGCAGAGTCAACTCGACGGCAAGCGTCGTTGAACGACGTCGGGCCGTCACGCAGATCTCCAGCATATCAGCCCTGAAATATGATATTGTCCATGAAAAAGAACACTACAGATGAAAGGTACACATTATGTAGCCCACAAAGACAACGTTGGGATGCAATATCAGAGGGGTCGTATTGTTAAGGGTAGGGGTCAATTTGGCCTAAGAAAAATTTCTTAATCCTCTCTTCCCCTAGTTGGCGGCGCAGTCAAAGTTCTATGCAAGTACTAGAACTTGTATAGAATATAGTTCAACTGATTATGAATTCAGTAGCCGTTTGGTGGCGACCTCCCCCTCCACCTATGGCAGTTTCTTGAGGAAAGCTAGTTTTTTTGGAAAACTGGTGAGAAGTTGGGAAAAGTTCGAAAAAGTGTGGAAAGCATGGGGAGAGGGTTCGTACCACAGGAGGGAATCTGGGAAGGC